GCACCCTGGGAGGATCAGAGCAGGCCAAGCACAGGATTGAGAAGCCACTGCTCCTCTGCAGGGTCCTTCCTCCACCACCAAGGGACTTGGGCAAGAACCCAAGCGCCGGTTGAACCCTCAGGAGGTAGCGGGAAGAGCTCAAACAACCTCAATGGATTAACATTTCATGGGGAGGAGCTTTAACCACCTGTGGACCTGTGACAACTCGAGTGCATCAGCAAGTCCTGAAGCTCTTTCTGAGCAGCACACCGCACCTGGATCCGAAGCTTTCACGGCACGTTTCGATGTGCTGCACACGAAGGCAATAAGAGCAGGCATCCTGCAGTCGCAGGGCTCCGAGCTTTCTCCTTTCTTTTTGGCCTTCGAATATAATTCATTTAAGCTCTTATGAGGCAATTCATAACCAGATTTTATTAGAAGTGGAAGGCCCTTTTATTTCCTCAGTGTATTCAGCACACAGAGAACTGGTGCTATGGTTAATTTTATTTCTATGCTTTCTGTGTTTTAATAACGATCTCCCCAGTTCCATTTGACTCTGAATAGATGGGGGAGATGGAGAGATATGAGTTGGAATAATGTAATCATGTAGTGCAGACAGAGAAATACTGATAAAAATGGTGTGTAATGAGTGTGTGACTAAGCAGAGACATGAAAGATTGCTTAAAGTTATAAAAGGTGATATATTTGCACACCTACCAGGTATGTGTATGCACTCAAAAAATATGCAGGTATGCTTTCAAGAAAAATGTAAAATGATAAAAAAAAATTACTTTTGTCAAAAAATACTCCACAAGTTCAAATACAATACACACATATAGCTCTGGGGCCACGTCTCTATATGCATTTTCTCTCTTTCACTGTCTTTTTGAAGCCATGAGATAACAACTTATAAGAAAAAAAAAATCTTCTCATGACACAGAGCATTTGTGTGTTGAATGCCAGTAGGAGATGGCACACAGCTTCAAGCTCATACAGACCAAGGCTTGTACTTGTAATATTTCATCGACCCCCTACCTGAGTGCTCTGTAAGCCGCGTCTCCATTCCTCCAGTGGTCTGACAGAGGATCTCAAAGCAGACAAAGCCACGAGCACAAGACACTTCCACCACCTGCTGCACCACTAATTCTGCATCAGAAGATTTTTTTCAAGCGTATCCAGCAAGCTCAGAGCACCGGGCGGCCTCAGCGGCGGCTGCCTGGGACACATGTGAAGGCTTTGTAAGCCCAGATTAAAACACAAGAAGGGATTGAGTTGCATTTTAACATTATTCCTTTAACTGATACTCACGGTTGGCATGTTTTCATTAAACTAACATGTTACAGTTTCTAGGGGATGCTCACAGTGCAGACACCGAGAGACTTAACCATGTGTTTCTTACAAGCCAAGAAACAGGCAATTAAAATGTGCCTGTGCTGGATGCTGGAATCTCCCTGGCAGAGTCAAGGAGATAAAATTGAAATAAATGGGGTGACACACCAGAGAATTTCCCTCTCGCTAGGGCTGTTTTTTTTTCCCCCATGTGAAGTCAGCAACCCCGTCAGCAGCACCTCTGCAACTGGAAATTGCAGAAGTCTCATGCTGTGGCCCAGCCGAGGTGCAAAGGGTGACACACAGCAGGCTGGGAAGGCTCTCATTTTCCCCTGAAACCCTGTGTAGTGCTGGCAGCATTGCTGCCGGGGAGCAACACACAGCTTTCAGCTGGTTCCTAAGGAAACAGAAGAGTGTAACCGCACAGTGGGCGTTAGCACCCCATTGCAGTGTTTTGGGGTCCTGGGGAGCAAGGACCCTCAGAGAGCCCCCAAGCCCTGTAAAGTCCCAGCTCAGTCACTGCACACCCTGGCTGAATCGCAAAAACCACTGAGGATAGCACTGCTGCTCTGATCCCTGCTGAAAGGAGGGAGGACTGGATGTTTCATGCCTGTCTTACATTTGCAAAGGTCCCATTTCTGCTTGCTTTCGAACCAAGTGCAAATATTCCTTGAAGACCACCTCGAGTTTTGACCCTAATTTTCATTGCCCACATTCTCCTGCACCCAGAAGGGCCCAGGAGCTGAACAGGACCATTGTTTTTAACAAGGTGCTGCAAATTCAGCTGAGCAATTCATCTCAACAGAAAGACCTGTCCAGCTTCTCCCAGTAATTCTTTTAAAGCAGGTAGATAATGCAATTCAGCGGAGCTGCCCTTCATCGCTTAGAGAGAGACGCGGCCTTTGAACATCCCCAAGCAAAGTGGTTCTGGCATAAAACCTCCTCCTCTATCTCCCCTGACCCCTTCATCCCCAAAGGCATGCCACATCTCAGCGCTGTATAATCTTCCCTCTCGAGGCTGATTAGCCGGAGCTGGAGTTCAGGGAGGTGAGAGCATCGGCATCCTCGTGGTGACGTTTGATCTCCGGTGTCTGCGAGTGCTCCCAATTAGCCTGGAAACGCTGCCTCCGGTTCACAAATACCTTAAAAACGAAGTTTAACGAAAAGCCGCCCGCGTTGCCTTTCTTCAGCCCTCTCTGCCGTATCAAAGCAGCTTAGAGTAGCTAAGGACAACTTTTACAGCCGAGAAGCGCCCGTCTGAGCGTTGGCTTGTTAGCGCCATGGCTGGAGCTGGGGAGCATCCATCAGCCCACGCCGCCAGCCTCGCTTCCCGAGAGCGCTTCGCTGAGTATCAGCAAGCACGTGAGGCTGTGAAGTTTACCTCTGAGGGAGCCACCGAAGGATCTTTCAAGCAGAAAGGTCACCCAGCTCATCTGCTTCCAGAGGAGCTGATTAGAGACGACTCGTTTCGGGAGCCATCGCTCCTCTCAGCAAGTCCGTCCTCTCCGGCTTTTTTTCTCCCTTCTTTTGCGGTAATGACCTGCAGCTCGTCGGAGGGGGCTCAGTGGGGGAGGATGGCAGCAGCACACATTTTAATGAATAACATTTTGTGAGCTGGCTTTCAGGGCTGCGGCTTGGTGAGGGATCCGACGAAGCAGCGGGAGGGAAGATTAAGGTGAAAACGCGTGCTCAGGGCAATGGCTTGGATGCAGCCCCAGCCACGCAGGAGGGGATGGTGATCCCTCGCTGGGGTGGGCCTGGGACACCCCTCCTCTCCCTCCCTCCCTGCTGCCTGGCTGCGATATCACTGCAGAAACGAGAGGCAGAATCTGCAGGGAAGGTGCGCGAAAGCCCCAAGGACTGATGCCAAAGCAAGCGCCCACAGAATAAAGCTGCTTGTGCCTCCTCCATCTTCTCCTTGTTAAGCCAACAGTAAAAACATCTCCTGGGTGTTTCCTTGAGCAGTGATACCAACCTAAGGTCTTGCCTGCAGCAGGGAGGTACCATGTTTCTGGCAAGGCAGCTCTATTTTAAGGGATGTTCCTGTGTTGAGGAGGTTTTGGGGCAGTTCTGCTCAGTTTGAGTGTATTTTCAAGGACTGGCTGCGCTTTTGGCTCTAAGCGATCACAGCAGACCTGCTCCAGCTGCTGCTCAAGTCAAGGTCCATACAAACAAGAAATCATCACTGGCATGTTTGCATAACAGGGAGTAGGAAAAGCATTTGCGCTGTGAAAACAGAAGGAATGTCTTTAGTTATTGGCTGCAGCAATTTAGCATGACTGTTAAACACATCTGACGGAAATAGTGCCAAAAATGTTGGCAAGCATATCTCCCACCAAAATCAAAATGCTTCATAGCATTAACCCTACTTTAATGATTTTGGGTTTTAACTAGAAAAAAAAGCAGAGGAGGAAGGAAAATCCTGAAAATAACAAGTTTCCATTTTTTTTCTTTCAAAACAGCTCCTTGTTTTTCAATACATTTATTTTGCATTATTATTTCTCATGTAGCTGTGAAGAAATACTTGAAAACAGAACAAAACATATAAATTAAACTAAATGTTTTGATTAACACAAAACAACTGTCATTTCCTTTCCTGAATAATTTAAAAATTAAACTTAGAAAACCAATTTCTTGTCGGAGAAGCCTCTTTAAAAGGGAAAGTTTGGCATTTTGCAAGCACTTCTGTTAGGTGGACTGGTGTCAGCATCTTATTCTTTTAATGTTAAAAACACTTTTAACCCACCTAAACACCAGCTCTGAACTATTTAGGAAAAGACATGTCTTTCTAGCCCTTCTCTATAGCCTCTTACACAGCAAATTCCCTGGTTGTACCTGGAATTTCTTAACTAGGGCATAAATACTATATTTAAATTATAGTGACTGTGTCCATAATACGTCTGATCTTTGAAGGAAAGGTGTAGCTACAGTGGGCCATATTTTGCCCTCCATCTCCCACTCATGCCATAAAAATGTACAGGATTTCCCTATGGAAATAATCTGGTTTTGAAAGGCATAATGTAAAGTAGTCTCCATGGGTAACCACTTCTTCCCTTGTTTAGCAGATTTTTGCTAGTGAGGACATTTCTTCCATATAGCTACATTAAAACAGAGGAAAAAATGAAACTGTCTTTCTCTGAATGTTTATGGTGCCGTTTTAATGAGTCTGCCCTTCTGATGCTGCAGGAGATTGTAAAACACATTCACTGGGAGCAAAGAGAGCAAACATTGTCCCACAGGCAGCCACAGGCATGCAGAGAGAAGCCGTGTTGGGGGACACAAAGTCCATCTGCAGCTAGACTCCCTACCCCAGAGCCAATCTTTCTCCCTAACCCACTGCAAGGTGGAACAAAGCTGACTTACTGACCCATAAATCGACCCAACAGGAACCCTCAAGCTTTTGAGCATGTCCATCAAAAAGGCCCGGAGATGATTACATGCACCTCGCAGTGAGGTTTGCACACAGAGTGGGTGGAAAGGAACCGGTAAAGTGCTAGCAGATGCACAAAAACCTGGCCAAGCTGGGCAAACTTCCCGCTCAATTAATGCAGGCAGAGGTTTGGCAGCGAAAGGTTTGTGTTGTGTTTAGCACGTGGTTCACTTGGGTTGGCTCCTTGGGGGGGAATCAGCTGAACAGCAGCAGATTAGACTAATCTTTTCTGGGAGGGCTGCTCAGGTACACTGATCCAGGTCGCCCGTGCATCAGAGACATTCTGTCTTAAACTTCTGCCTCAGGGCTTTCTGCACGTTTTGTATCTTCTCCGTGATTACGGTGTCACTGAGGTGATCTCCAAACTTCTGTTTCAACAGCACCCTAATGATTTTGATGCAGCGTTCGTCCATCATGGGCTTCGCCTCTCGGAAAGTATTGCCCCTCCGCCCCGTGATGGAGTGGCTCTGGATGTAGTCGGACGTGAAGAGCTTGTAGAGCAGTGTCTTGCAGGCTGTGCTGATCTTCTGGTCAAACCGGATGGTCTCTTTGAGCTGTTCCTTGGTGTAGCCGTTGAAGAGTTCCACCACCTCACACGGCTGCCGGTGGGGCTCCTCCTGGAAGGACAGGGATTCCAGCCTCTGCACCTTCTTCTTCAGAGAGAGAACGTCCTGTTGGAGGTCCAACACCAGCCTCTCCAGCTGATTTATCTTCTCCGCCCTGAAAAATCCAAATTACTTGTGTAAAGGCAAGAAGATACCATGGCCTAGTATGTAGCACCTCTACCCAAGCAGTGATTACATGCCTCCTGCAAGCAGGGACAGGACAACTTCTCTGCCAGAGTGTCAGTCCATCCAGCTATGGCTGGGTGAGGAGCAAGGCAGGAGAGAAGAATGACATGGTCTGGACTTCTCAGTAGCTCAGAAATGTTCAGAGTTTAACCCTCACACACACACACACACCCCGCCCTTGTCATGCTTGCATGGAGACTTTGATGCTCAATTTTCCTTTCAGTTTTAAGGAAAGATAGAAGCCCTGCCCTGCAAGTCCCAGGAGGCATATATTTGTGGTCTGAAACAACAGACATGGGGAAATGGCAATGCAAGTACTGCAACGTGATTTTTTGGCACCCATTTCTTTGCAGGAAAACTGTCCCTAGCAGCTGCTTCATCCCTGGATACTTGTCATCAAAGTAATAGACAGTAAGGCAAGCAACACACAACCATGTTGAAACACGATAGAAGTCATTTGGATTGTTACAGGCAAGAGCTTTGTGGTTTCTGCCCTGTTTTAGAGCCTTCTTGCATCTCTAACTCCCAGCCAACACTCAGAAACACCTGGCTCTGATTATACAGAGATTCAGCAGCTTTGGTTCTAAAACTGCACCATTCTGTCACCCAGCTGTGGCCTCACCGCTCTTTCTTGTAGTGAGGAGGAAAATATAGTTAACAACAAGTGCCTTCTTTTGCTAATTACCTTTCCATTTCACCAGGACCAAAATTTTTCTGAACTCTCTCGAAGTCATCTGTCTCTTGCAAAGCGTCCAGCTTTCGCTCTTCACAGCTGGAAGAAACAAGCAAACTGAAAAGCACTGCCACAAGAAGCTTCGTGTTAATATTCATATTCACAATCATTCCTGATGAGTATTATCTGTAATTCAAAGGTTCAAAGCAAAGTCAATTCTGGTTTTGTTTATAGCAAGAATAAAATGGATTGAGGGGAAATATCAATGTTTCTTCATGTGGACAACCTCCTGTGCACTCCCCTTTCCACGCAGAGTGTGCCCTGGCACACAGATATGGGCAACCTCCCATTTGAGCCACCAAGGGATCAGGACTCCAGAGCACAGGGGACTCAATTGCTCTGCAGTAGGTACCCACATAAACTCCCATTATATCTTTTGAGCTTTGGGTTTAAGTCAACATTAACATCTATTCAGAGGGAGCACCACCAGGGCATGGAAATAGAGTGGACAGACTCCACACTATGAAATAAATACATACGGTGTGAAACATTCAGGGTCCTCGCTGAGCTTTCAGGTGTTACCTGTTCAGACAGATGCGCTGCTGGCACTGGGACAAGATGCCATCGGACTTCCTCTTCATCGGCAGGGATACGTAATCTATAGGCAGAGACGTGAGACAAGCTGAACAAGCCGGCTGTTGAAAAGGTCCTGAATCCCTTTGTCTCCAGAACAGATTAGCTACGTACTCCTGCTACACTGCATAGCAACATGTCATTCCCTTTGCATAAACAGTGATCCAGACGTGCTTTCCAGGACTGAACAATAGGGATTTTGTTACTAGAAAAAAGTGCTACCTCAAGGGCCGCTTCTGTTCCCATCACAAAAGGCATAGTGGGCAAGGCAAGCAGAGCCGGTGTGTCTCTGGACACTGCTGTTAGTCAGCAGGTAGATGATGCACTAGCATATTTGTGTAAGTGTGTTTAACATACGTAGTAGTGGCAAGAAAAGCAGGGAAACAGGCAAAACCGAGAAGGTTTGGCCGAGGCACAAGGCTTTTGGGTGTTTCACGGTTATTTGGGCCGGCTACATTGGGTTTTGGCTTGTGGGGAAAGAACTGCTAGCCCAGGAGACCGAGCTGGTGCCTGGCAGAGCAGACACCGTATGCTATCGCACAAGCATCTCCCTCTAAACAGCCCTCCTGGAGGAGATGTCCCAGGTGGAAAGGACCAGAAAGTTTCATCTCTAACCTTTGTAGCCCTGGAAGAAAGCACACACAGCCCCGGAGCAAAGCAGAGGTCTCCTGGCAGCTCGGCAGGTCCCCATCCTAATCTGCCACTCAGGACGAGGCAGGAGAGGGCTCAAAGCCAACACCCTAATTTACAGCCACGATTACCTCTAGTAGCTGGACCAGCCCTGTCCTCTTCACCCTGGGAAGTCCCTGGCATGGCCATGGTGACAAATGTGGATGGGGGTGTGAAGGCACTGGCTGGGTGCGGGAGCCCTGCCAGCGAGCGAGGGCTTCCTGCCGCGTTGCCCAGGGCGCGTCTCTCCTTGAGGATGGAGGAGCTGCCGGCGTCATGGGGCAGGCTGGCCTCGGCCGCCCTCAGCAGCGGCTTGGCAGGGTAAGTCCTGTCGCCGTGGCATTTCCTGGAGGCGTTCCCCGGGGTCCATTTTGGGAAGGTTTTCCTGGATTTTTTCGGCTGGGGTGGCATCATGCTGTGGACGGCGGGTTCTTCTTCTGAAAGCAAGGCAGATACTCAAGATGTGCGATGGGGTATCGGTGTTGTGTATCTCCCATCTCCCGCTCAGCGCTTTTTACCCTCATTGTAGGGGGTGATATTTATGCCAGGACTACAGTGCACTCAGCATCCTCCCACCCCCAAAAGCCCCATGGGGGTAGAAAGGTGCAAACTTCAAAAGACTCTACTCACTTAGCTTCTCCAGGAGCTGTCTATCTTCCAGCAGCTTCTTCTCTAAAATATCTTTATGCTCTGTAGGAAGAGAGGACTTTTCAGCACTGAACTCCTTCTCTAAAGGTTGCTCCCGAGCAGCCCCAAATTGCAAAGCCCAGGGCAGAGGGACGTCACTCACCGCTTATGCCTTCCACCATCCCCCAGTAGAGCCCACTGAAGCCGGGGCAGCGGGCCAGCACCTGCTCACCCACCACGTAGAGGTGGAAGGGCTTGCGGGGTTCCTTGATGTTCTCGATGTTGATCACCCGGCTGCCGTCGGGCCAGCTGATGAGGACGTAGAGCTTGGCCGACATCGGGGCTGCTCGCCTGGTGTGGGGGGGGAGCAGGAGGGGAGCATCACGGCACGGCTTTGTGTTCTCCCAAGGTCGGGAGGATTAGCCAGTGATGCCCTACCTGAGGCAGCGCAGCCTGCAGATATAAAATACTTGTCCCTGAATCTTTTCTACCAGTTATTTCTCTTTCCCCATTCCTGCCTTAGGATGTTTGCCTCGTCCTAAATCCCTCTTCCCTGGAGGGCTGTCCTGGGACTGACCTGGGCACAGCTCCACGTGCCTTTAGCTTAATTTAAAGAGGAACTGCAGCTCCAGCCGTGACATGCGTCACCTGGGTTCTGGCAGGACCAGCTCTCACGCAGGATGCGAGAACCAAGCAGAGACAAGCTGGTTCCTCTGCCTGTGTGAACCAGCTCAGTTGACTCCGCTGGGTTTACAGCAATTTGCTGCAGTGGAAGCAAATTGCTTGTATGAGATCAAGGCAGTACAGAGAAAAGACTTGAAAAGACCCAGGTGTATCCAAGGAAATGGTCGTTCCTTTGCCTGTACAGTTATTTTCTCCAGTAAATGTCAAAGCGCTTCCATAAGGAAGGCAGCAAATTATGTCTGTCTCATACATGGGGAAACTGAGGCACAGAGCAGCGGAAGATATATCTAAAGGCAGCCAAGAAGCAAAGCTGCAAGGAGCTGGTCTCCTGGGTCCTGGCCCACTGCTCTGCCCACTGAGACACCCTGTTTCACCCCTTAGAGCTGCAGGCTTAAAGCACTGGGGAAATGGGAGTGCTCAGCAATCCCACGACAGCCAGGCTAGTGGTGACTTTCCAAGCCTCCTGAGGCACAGCGGCAGCTGAGGAGCCAAGGGATGCTGGGCTCAGGGAGGGTTTCTTTCCAGGTTTCAGCTAGTTTACTGCGGTCTCTTGTTTTGCCTCCACACCCCTATGAAAGTCAAGCCTGGTTTTAATTCCTCTTGCTTGGGAGGCTCAGTTCACCCTGGAGAACTTTCTCCATCCCCTTCCCCCTGCTCCACCATCATGAGCCACAGCAAAGCTCCTGGCAAGAACTGCAACTTTCCCTGAACCTGCCAGCCTGCCCTGCTGCCACAGACTCACACCAGGTTCACTCCAACCCTTTTCTCTTGGCCGAGACGCTTTCTGGGGTTTATTTTTACAAGGAAGCCCCACATATGAATTAACTGTGCGGTAACTGCCTGGCTCCCCCCATCCCCTTCCCTGCTGCTGGGTGCTCTGCGGCAGACGCCTGCCCCCAGCCCTTCCCTGAGCCCAGGGAACAGTCCAAGCAACTGGGATAAACACATAGCTGAGACCCCTCCCTCCTGGAAACACAGCTCTCTTTTAAAGAGCTGCCTATTCCAAACAGCAAACAACCCCAGCCCCAAAAAGCTCCCCGAAGGGGTTTTCCTTTCTTCGACATTTAAAGGAAAACCGCAGAGCTTCACTGCTCCTTCCCGCCCCACTTACCAGTTGCTCGTTTACCTTAACGAACGCAACAAAACTACACGAATGCACAAACACAGAGAGAAAGGAAGAGAGAGAAAAAGATCACAATCCTGACAGCAACAGAGCTCGGTCCTTGCCTGGTTAGCACTGCTCCAGGTGTTGAGGCTTGCAAAATGTCTCCTGTGTATCCAGATCTCAGCTGCCTGCTCCAGGAGAGGAGGTGACCGGACACTTCTTCGCCTTGGGCTTGTCCCTTCACCACAGTTCCTTGTCAGGTCTCCTTTGTCTGGCTTAGAAAGCTCCCACCTGCCGTCCCCACTGCAAAGAAAAAACAGACCCTTTGCTTTCTTTTTTCCTGGTTGTTTTGTTTCAGCATTATTATCCCTGTTATTTTTCCATATACTTATATTATTTTTTTTTTTTTCCTTAGCTTGTTTCAGGTCTGTTTCTTACAGGGAGAGAGAGCAGAAGAGAAGAGAAAAAGCCTTGGGTTTTTTGGAGCATGAATAAACCTTGCATTTCCATGAGTTATTCATGAATAATTCATGAAAATGCATGATTAATTCAGGTTCATGAATTATTCAGGAATAATTCTCGAACATTCCTGGTTAATTCATGCTCACACAGCGAGTGAGTCAGGCTCTAGGGCTTGGTGAATTCCTTTCTCCCTGAGACAGGAGAAGAGAGGCTTAGAGACGGCTGCATTGTGTGCTTCCCCTTTGCTGCGTCTTAGAAGAAAACATATTTTGGGCCCTTTTTGAAACAAGGGCTTGAAGAAGAGAATTGAAAAGCCTGCAGCCTTCTAGCCACGGAGGAATAACACAGCACCAAAAGAAAGAAAGAGAAAGAGATTGGACTTGCTCTCAGAAGGAAGCCCAGCAGCAAGTTTTACTCCCTTTCAAAGCATCTTTCAGACTAACTGTGTGTTTTTTTTCTCCCCCCACCTCCAGATTGCTCCCTGGTTGAGAAACATCTCAGCAGCTTCGTTTTTTACCTGCTGTGCAATGAAAAGGACCACAGACACAGGCCTCTGCTTGAGGAATCAAAGGGCCTCCCCACGCCACGTGCCCACCTGTCCCTGCACACGTGTGCGAACGCGCACAGCCCCTTGACTCGGCGTCCCAGCCTGTGCGAGCACGTGGTGCCCGTGGCAGTGCAGACACCAAGGTGGCCACACACAGCTCTGCTTTCCCTGGGCTTTTGTCCCCAAAACGTCACCGCTGCAACACCTGGGGTTCCCTAACGCGGGGCGCTTTGTCGCCGACGCTTGGGGGATCACCACGCGTGGCGAGGCGGGCGCAGGCAGGGAGCTTGACCGCCACCTGCGGCTGGTGGGGGAGCTCCTGGGCAGTCCCAGGGGTGGCGTGGGCAGCCGGGCACACAGGCATTGCCTGGGGTTGGGGACAGAGCGACAAGGCCAGCCAATTTGTTCTGCTGGGATGCTCACGAGCAAAACAAGGTTTTGCAGCGGAGCCTCAGTCGCGGGGACACCGAGTTCTGCAAGATGTTGAGGCCTGCACTGCAGGGTGACATAATGGGGGGGCTTCCCCACCTCCTGAAACCTGTTGTAGTCAATGGCTAAGACCCCACATCTCTGGAGAGACTTCACCTTTTTTTTTATGCTCAGCTTTGCAGGACACACACCTCACCTCTGTTGTGTTAGTGTCCCCTGGGTCCTCAGAGAAATATGGCTGTGGCGCTAATCTGTCCCTGGGAGGGGGTCTTCTGGTTGATCTGGCAGCAAAGAGAAGCCATAGTTAGTGCTGGAAACCATCCCCGGGGCTTTGATCCTGCCTGAGGTCAATGCCATCACCACACTGCTGCCTCCCCACGGGAGAAGTTTGGGTAGGTGCTCTGCTCATGGCGGTCTCTGCTCCTGTGGTGGGTACCTGCCTTGGCCCAGCACGTCAGGATATGGGCATTAGCAATCGGGTCTTTCAGTCAACAGGAGGGAGCCGCCACAGAGCCCCAAATCCCGCAGGGGAGCAGTGGCTTAATTGCACAGGGCTTTAATACCTTGAGCTTCCAGTTCTCAGAAAACAAAGTTCAAATCCTGCCAGACCACACCTTCAGTTAAAATACAAGACCCCAGCGTTGTCAGAGCCCATGGTGAAGAAAAGGACCCACGTGGCATCAGACCTGCTGCGGTCTGGGCTGGACACCAGCAGGCAATGGTGCAGTGGGTTGGGGTCGTCTGCAGCCCTGTCTGCAAAAGCTGCCTGCCCAACCAGGCACCCTAACCCAGCCGCCGCAGGAGGTGGAAACGCAGCAAGGGAGCAAATCCAAACAGTGCTTTCTGCTTTATCTCAGCTAAAAGCAGGTCCAGAGGTTGTTGGACAAAAGGGAGACTTTGGATGTTCAGTGAGATATTAGAAAAGGGCCTCGATCAGATTCACAGGGTAAGAAAATTTCCGCATCTCTGATTTGCAATATTTAGGGCTCAAAGAATACATCTGTCAGCCCAGGGAAAACCAGATGTTAAATAGAGATCTGGCTGAGATAAGGTATCAGCAGATACGAATGTAAAAGAAGCAGTATCTGAATTCTGTGTAGTTTTGAATGATGTCGCTGAAGAGTAAGAACTACAAAGGAAGAAGAAACGGAAAAGCAATGATGAGATGAAAAACAATAGAGGTACACGACAATGGAGTTGAGATTGGATTCTGGTTTTATGCAGGACCTGGTCCAAATACAATCTGCTTGCCGAGTGGGCTTGCTTAAGCAAGCTTTGTTTGTTTTCCTTTGAAGAACCAACAAGATGCGAAGCATAACAGATGAATAGTCCTGGGGGTAGAAGTGGGTAGTTCAGCCGCAAACTGCGGGAGAGGAAAAATTGCAGCGACCACAAGAGGAAGGCAAATTGTAGCCTCACCAGACAACAGAAAAGTCAAGTGTCCGTGTACAAATATACAAAGTGTTTGTGTTGAATTATTCCAGGAAAATGAGACTCTGAAGTGAATCCCAAGTGTTTGACTTCATGAAAATTAGCAAGTCCTGATTAGATTTCCCTCCCCGTGTTTGATTACGAAATCCCTTGCCAGATGCCTCGTTGGGGGCTGTGTGTAGAGTTGCTGTTTTCAGGAACCTCTGCTTCTGCTTTTCCTGATTCTTTGAAAACAGCTCCCACACTGTGGCCCCCAGCGCCAGCACACATTTCACCCTCCAAGCTGCACTTGCTGAGATTTAGATTTCAGCTGCGACTAGGGAACAACAACAGCTTCTTTGTAATGTTATCTAGAGATGCACTGCAGGAACCATGTTCAGCATCTGTTTGAATGCTGCCCTCTCTTTATCAGGACAATCACAGTTGATGTTTGAATGGACTTAAAAAGCAAACACAGGTGGTTTTAATCTCCCTTTGCAACGTTACTCTTCCTTCAGCGTGGGTTCAGCGGCCCAGATGTGCGCTTCACCCGCTTCAGAACGCAGCCATAGTTCAACAATTGAGAGACGAGAGCTATATCGATCATTAATTTTTTATCACCGCGATGAAACGACATGGCAGACATCAAGCACTGTGGTTTGGCGCTGCAGGGAGAGGGGAGCCGAGGCTGCGAGCTGTGC